CACATGTACATGTATTCACTTGTTAATTGTACAATGTGCATACAGACAAATAGCATTGCAAAAATAAAACATAAGATTAATTACATATTTTACACTCGTGAGGCACAATCATGTGAGTTTTTTGTATCGCCGCCAAGTCCTTAAAATAATGCTAACGACGATCTAGACGTTTCTCGAACCCCTGCGGGTTTATAGCCTTCCCATAAAAAATGTGGTCTCTTAGTGTTTATATAGTATTTAGTTAACACACTTTCTCTCACGGGGATTCCTTGATGTAGGTGAGGTGATCTTAATCCAAGGAATGGGACCTGCCTTACCCCGAGATCTAACCTGGATGCCTCCCATTCCTCCACGAGCTGCATGACCCCCTACGGGTGTAGCGTTCCCATAAATAAATAAATATATAATATATATATAAATAATATATATATAATATATATATATATATAAATATATATATATATAAATATATATATATATATATAATATATATAATTAAATTTATATAAACATTACATGTATGTTATTACTGTGAGCATTATTATATGTAAACACACTGATGAGTTCATCACTTAATATATCGTGATGAACACATTCACTCCTGGCTGACAGACTGATTACTTCAAACTCCTCTTCATTTTCCATTGTTCTCTGTATTGGACTGAAGAAGCCACTGGCTGGCGAAACATTTCATCAGTAAAGATTTCCAAATCTTGGACAAATGTCTCATTCTTGAACTTGATATATCCCCCAGGGTGGTGCCCCTTGATTCTAATGAAGAACTCCGGATCCAAGGAATTGAAGCAACCCTTCTCTTACTCGGATCAAACCTGATTACCATCCCTTTCCCAGGCTATGTATGACTCCTACGGGTATAGTACTAATGAACCAACATTCTTCAGGGGTTCTCGATCCAACGAATTGGATCTACACTTCTCTACGACCCACGGGTTTGGCGCTTGTTTTCGAATATAATAATAATAAGAATAATAGTAAGTTTATTCAGATATACACAAATACTGGTACATAGATTATCATACATAGCAACATGTGTAGAGAACCTAGGATAACCCCAAAAAAAGTCAGTGACTTATTTCCACTGGGGTCCTTTTAATACCTTATTATATTATAAAGGAGATAACTTATTATTCTCTCAAGGAAGGTTCCTTGATGCTGGTGAAGGGCTCTTGATCTAGGGAACTGGATCTGTGCTCCGTTTCCTGAATTAAGCCTAAATACCTTCCATCCCGCTCCCCCCACAGGCGCTGTATAATATTACGGGTTTAGCGCTTCCCCTTGATTATAATAAATAATAATCTTATTAGTATACTATAAAAGAGATATACTAGGAATAAGGTAAAATGAGTTATTTATATTTACATGTGTTAGTTAATAAAAAAATCATTCTCCTCCCTCTGTCGCTACATTCATCAGGTGCATTTTAGCTCTCTTCTTGAACTGGACAGTTTATAAGCAATTTCATAAACTTGACTGAGCTTCAATTGTTTTACTCTGTCTTCAACATTCAGCATATCCAATTGTAGTAATTCATCCTGGCCTACATGTTCTCTTGTACCCAGGCCCAGTATGAATATTACAATTTTGTTCCGGGTGATTTGTAGTCTATCAGTTTTTTTTTTGTCAAGGCCGAGTACCATAAAGAGCAAGCCTGACTAGGAACTATGGAGAATGTTGTTGTCATTAAGATACTTGACAGTACACCGCCCTCTTTAGAATTTTGACCCCTCAAGGAAGGTTCCTTGATGTTGGTGAGGGGCTCTTGATTTAGAGAATTGGATCTGTGCTCCAGTTCCCCGAATTAAGCCTGAATGCCTTCCACCCCCCCCCCCCCCATCCAGGCGCTGTATAATCCTCCGGGTTTAGCGCTTCCCCCTGATTTTAATAATAATAATAATCTAGAATTTTGGATATCACACTGAACATACTAACAGGCCTATAGTTGCTGACATCAGACCTACTATTTTTCTTGAAGACAGGAGTAACTGGCCTCCTTGAACCCCTTTGGTACGGTATTAGTGGTGATGGACAAATTTATGTGAGCAATGGGGATTGGCAATTCAGTGGCATCATCTTTTAGAAACTATGACGGGATATTATCTGGGCCGGTGATCTTAGTTGGGTTTAACCAGCTTAGTTCATTTTGCACGAAGTCATGATACACTTACTAGGTGACAACTGTTTGAGGGGTACCCCTTTGTTGGTATAGTATGTTTTAAACTTATCAGAGTCTGTGTTGAAGCCTTAAAGGTATTTGATGCTGCGGGTAGTTTACTTACTGTGGAAAATACTGTATATATTTTCCAGAAATACAGTAGTTATATGTAAATAGATGGCCATGCTGTATTTAAAAGAATTATATTATAGAAAATGGGAAAAACTGGACCTGCGCCTGTGCAGACAGGAGACTCGCCATCTTGGTTTTGAATTCTGTACAAACGTTGGTGTAATGGGAAGAATTTTTCGTGCTCTAGAGGTTAAAATTGTGTTGACACCTCTCAAATAGGAGGCGAAATTGGTGGATGTGCATTCCTACATAACTTGGGATATCAGACGACTGGACAAGACAGCTCCAGGAACCTCAGATAAGCTCTCTAGATTTGTGTGTAATTCTGGCCAGCATTATTTTTATAGATTTAGTTAGAGTGAGGTTTTCTGAGTATGATACACATTAATCTCCAGTCAAATTGGTGAGTGATATTAAGATATATTTTCCTTCTGTTATGTAATTGTGTATATATATAACCATTTATTATTTTTAATATACAGTCCACAAATTTATACATTTACCAGTATTCCTGGTGTATGTATATTTCATTTAATTAATAGGTCCAGAGCAACTTGTGGATATGACAGTTGTAGGTATCGAAGGGGGACATTTTTGCGACCTATGTGTCCCAAATTCCTACTTGTCTAACTGATAAATAATAATTATCTATGTTCATTTATTGTTATGTACATAATGATACATACAGATAAATGCAATTTTCCACACTTACTAATGTTGATGTGACAGATGTGTAGTATGAATTAAAACAATTTGCCACATTAGTTGTTTCCTGGCATACCTCGTTATTGATATTTAGTAGTACTATGTTAGATCTTTCTACGGGTTTATGATAAGATAAGATAAGATAAGATTTCGTTCGGATTTTTAACCCCGGAGGGTTAGCCACCCAGGATAACCCAAGAAAGTCAGTGCGTCATCGAGGACTGTCTAACTTATTTCCATTGGGGTCCTTTATCTTGTCCCCCAGGATGCGACCCACACCAGTCGACTAACACCCAGGTACCTATTTGCTGCTAGGTGAACAGGACAACAGGTGTAAGGAAACGTGTCGGAATGTTTCCACCCGCCGGGAATCGAACCCACCAGTTGTTGCCAGAGCTTTCTGAGGTTATTCTTGTACTCTTAGATTTTTGAGCAACAGTGCCTTGCCATTACTCAGTAGTGCCATACCTTGCTGCGATGGTGACATTTACGTTTCTGGTAGGATGGCAACTGTTGAGCTTTCACTGTCTAGGGTGTTATTACCCCAGTCGCCTTTTCCAGACCCCATGACGGATTTCTTTTTTCAACGAATTGCAGGAGAAAGATAATATAATTATGGCAGCCTGTACCCCTATAACTCCAGCCATGTTCACTCTTTCACAATATCACTTCGCAAAAAAAAATTTATTTAAAAAAAAGAAACCACTGATCACTATCAGTCACCTAACAATAGCCTAGTAGCTTCTCTAGCAATCACCACTAATTACTAGTAGATTTCCTGTTATCTTTGCAAACCCACTACTCCCCTTATTTCACAAACCCCCTTCATTCCTCACGTATCCTCTTCACAAACCCCCTTCATTCCTCACTTATCCCCTTCACAAACCCCCTACACGCTCCGGCTTCACCTATCACACATTTCCATCCTGGCAGGAAAAAAATAAAGTTTTGATCAATGGCGTCATCCGTCCACAGCCTCCTCAATCCCATTTAGCGGGGCTGCGTCCTGTTGTTGACTGGTCCTGATCGTAGAGGTGATGTTTCAGCCATTTTTAGAAGCAATGAGGAAAAAAACGGCCGCTACAACCTGACAGATTCCTTGGAGTTTTGTCGTTTTCTCTTCACCGGGAGGCCTGGTCATGGACCGGGCCGCGGGGGCGTTGATCCCCGGAATACCCTTCCGGTAGACTCCAGGTGTTTCCATTGTACACTGGTCAGTTGATATGGAGGTTAGCTACTGAAAAAAAATTAATGGAGGTTCCCCCTTTTCCTTAGAATTTGCCTTAGTCCCCCGAGGCGCTGTATGACCCCTACAGGTTTAGCGCTCCTGTGAAAATATAATAAATGTATAAATTAAACAAGTACTAGCATCTAGTTGAAGTGCAGATAAGGTTCAGTTCATGTCCAGTACGTATTCTGCTTAGGGTCCTACTCGGCAAATTTCAAGGTCCAGCTAAATACATCTTCGCTTAAAAAATATTTTAAATTTGCATTATTCAATGATTATTCATGTTATTACAGATTTCCAAGGCCTGCAATAAGTAATAATATCTTCTACAACGAAGTGAACTGTGATAGCTTTGGCAAGGTTCAGTTGCCATGTGAAAAGCGGAAAATCGATCATTAGATAGTATTATTTTTCGCTTTAATTAATAATGCAGACCTTATCTCTGCCTTTGTGCTGTGAAACCCCGCTACGTTATTTTGAAAAAGATGCATATTCCCAAAATTTCTATCGATTCTAATGATTTTGTGCCAGCTCATTCTGGAAGCTTCTGAACGCGGTACAATGAGCATGCAGGGAATTTCTCCCAGGCTTCGCTTCCACACATTTTTTCCCTCATCATCAGCGGCGAAATGAGGTGTAAAAACCACCCCCACATTAGCATTTGTGCGTTAGTTACAGCAGAGAATAATCAAGCATGTGTAATGAGTTATCATCGTACAAGTATTGGGATGGTGTTAGTGGGAGTATAAATATAGAAAGCAGTGACCGTTGAAGAGACAAGTGAGCATCTAGTTAAGGAGCATCAAGCTCCTCACAGTAGTTCCAACACCACTCTGCCCATGGCGGCTAATCCTCTTCATCCTTGCTCCACTTATTTACGTTCCCAAGACCAAACGCCAAACATCATGTCAACCGCACAGTGAGTATTTTCATGAATTTTAGGGGGAATTATCAGGTACTTAGCAGGATGGTATGAAAGCTGTTGTGGAGAGACGGATGAGTAGTGCCTGAATAATGGCAGCTGAGGAAGATTCACTTGCGGAGAGGGCAATAATGAGGTTGTAAAGCACCGGCAGCGTGGGGATACACGCTAGCTCATTCATCAAACAAATAAACTAATTGGTACTGATAACACGGTCTCAAACAATAGCCAATATGCGAAAGTATTGTAGCAAGACGTGAGGAAGTTTAATTATTGAAATTGATTAAATTTCCATGGATGACAACGTATTCTCGTTATGGTTATCACCAAACAAACGTTTTAACAATAGTATTCATTATATTTTAGTTTCTTCACAACTTCCATGAGGTTTATTCCATGGAAAGTTTCTCAAAACATGTACAATGCACTGAATAACTTGCAAATGAAGGAAGTACTAGTTGACGAAAGTACTGTTTGCGTATGCCTTATATTATTTTTCCTTTACAGTGGGTTTTTATATAGCAAATCATGTAGAACTAAAAACAAAGGATAACCCAATGAAGTCAGACAATGTAACTTATTTCCATTGGGGTCCTTGTGTTAGTAGTAATTTTTTTACATAAATAATCCTCTACTTTTAGTGTTATTAATAAAAATACTGTAAATTATCATAATTGATGTATCTAAAATGCATTAAGAATAATTTAACAAAACAAAAAATCACTGTTTCCTTTGTTGCAGCTTCATTCATTACATATTCTTTGGCTATGTTAAACTTTTGTACAGGTAACCCATTCTATGCTTTTATCACTGTGTAATAGGTGTTTGAGGCCTGGCTACCTACTGTGGGTATGATTCATACCACTTTAAGCACTTCTACCATTGTGGTTGGACTCTTCACCCATGTAATGCAAGTTCAGCTCATCCCCAGGAATTCCCCACCATAAATTTGTGTAATCTATTTTTATAAAAGGAGCATTAATACCTGAATTTTTATATATATATAAAAGTTGTACATCTACATAAGTAAGAAGGAAGGAGCACAGCAGCAGGCCTACTGGCCCATGCTAGGCAAGTCCAAATCACCTACTGGCCTAAGCTAAGATACTGATGCTTATTTTGATCTGTAATAGGTATTTTTGAAATTAAATGGCTGCTTTTTGTGTGTAGTATCTTATAAGGGTATAGTTTTAAGAATTCAGTCATCATTGCTTAAGGACTAGGGCTTAGCTGAAAACTCATTACCCCCCCCCCCCACACTTTTTTATGGGTGAACCATCTCATTCGTACTTTGCATACTATTTTTATGCTTTCTGGAGGCGATATCAGTGATAGTGAACCAGAGAAATGAGTTTGAAGCTTGATTCAGTAGCATACAAGCAGCTTGTACCTGAATTATTTTTTTTTTTAACGATAGGGCCATCATTCACCAAGGTAGTGTGACGTAACAAAGACAAAAACCCTTTCTGTCACTTTTCACTCACTTTCTTGCCAGAAGGGTGCAAACATTTTATAATTCAGATTAAAGTTTATTCAGGTACAGGTACATATAAATACCATTACATAAATTATTATACAAAGCAGCATAAGTGTAGATTACCTAGGATAACCCAAAAAAAGTCGGTGACTTATTTCCATTGGGATCCTTGATTCTTGACGCTCCAAACTTCAACATCTCCACCCCTCCTTCAGAATGCAGGTTTCCTACCTCCAGGATGAGTGTTATGTGGTAGATTATATTACAAAAGCCTATGTTGGGCAAAGGAAGGAAGTAGGTAAAGAAACAAGAACTTAAATTTCATGAATGGAGATGAATACTGAATGTGTGTAGCCTGTCCATGATGACCATGATGGTGGCTTGCCAAAATCACTGATTTTTGGATGAATACAGTAAAGTAAACTGGAACATTATCTTATAAAATTTTAGGAATTGATAAATTATGAGTTGAAAGTGTTTTGAATTCAGAGAATTTATAATTAGTCATGTTTTGTCAATTTGCATTCATACATTTCCATTAAAACATAAAGTATCTTTTGTGTTAAAATATATATTTAGTGAAGTAAGTTTATTCGGATCTAGGTGCACACAAATGCAGTTAAACTGTCGTACATAGCAGCATATGTGTAGATTACCTAGGATAACCCCCCAAAAAACTCAGAGTTACTTATTTCCATTGGGGTCTATGTAATATCTTATTTAAACTTTAAAAGTTAAAACAGTAACTCAGCTGTGTGAACAGTTACAATAAAAGAAGATATACTAGGAGTAAGGTAAACCGAGTTATTTACATTGATATTAAAGAAAGGATCAGATTACATTAATAGGTACGTACATGTATGTTAGCTATACAAGAAATCACTCTCCTCCCATTCTGTCGCTACATTCATTAGGTACCTTTTGGCTCTTTTCCTGAACTGGCTAATGCTATGACAGGCTTTGACCTGTACAGGCAGTCCATTCCACTCATTTATTGTTGTACAGTAGAAGGTGTTTGAAATCTGACCACTTATTGTGGGTACAACAAAGTTGTGTTCCCCTTCCCTGGTACTATAATTCCTTCGGTTCTCAGCCTTGACAAACTTCACAGCAAGATATTCAAGACACTACTTGTGAGCAATTTTATAAACGTGATTTAAGTTGTTTTACTGTCTTCAACATTCAATATATCCAGTTGTTGCAATTCATCTTGGCCTACATGCTTTCTTGGACCCAGGTCCAGGATGAATCTCACCATTTTCAGGGTGATTTTTATTCTATCAGTTTTTTTTTTTTTTTTTTTTTTTTTTTTTTTTTTTTTTTTTTTTTTTTAAGACAGAGTACCCTGAAGGGCAAGAGTAGGTTTGGTTAGGTAAGGTTTGTCAGGAAACCAGACAAGTGTTTCTTGACGTGGGTCTTAGTCAGATGATGATCTGCCATTGGAGCTTTTGGTCATCTGACTGAGGCCTTCTGCTGGCTTACTGATCCATCCCTTCAAAAATTATGGTCATAGTTATAACCATTTATAATCTATATGGCATTGTATAAGAACTAGGCATAGGGTCCTGTGAGCCTCAGTAGGTAGACACTGTGCCTGTCTGTAGAGGAACTTTAGTGGCATTTGCTTTCTTTACTACACTGTTCCCTGTCAATTCTCCTGACATGCTTGGGGTCATAGGAGATTCCCAGATACAGTGGACCCTCGACCAACATTGGCATCGTCTAATGTTAAATCCGACTAGTGATACATTTTAACGCAAAAATTTTGCCTCGACTAGCGCTAAAAAACCCGACCAACGCTATTCGTTCCGTTCAAGACGCGTCCACTTGTGGCCTGAGTGTGCCTCACTTGTCCCGTGGGTGCCAGTGTTTACAAGCCAGCTAGCCACCGCGGTCCCATCCAAACGTGCAATCAGAACATTTCATATCACAGCGTTTGTAGTGATTGCACCTGCAGAATAAGTCACCATGGGCCCCAAGAAAGCTTCTAGTGCCAACCATACAGCAAAAAGGGTGAGAATTACTATGGATATGAAGAAAAAGATCATTGCTAAGTATGAAAGTGGAGTGCGTGTCTCCGAGTTGGCCAGGTTGTACACAAAACCCCAATCAACCATCGCTACTATTGTGGGCAAGAAAACGGCAATCAAGGAAGCTGTTCTTGCCAAAGGTGCAACTATGTTTTCGAAACTGAGATCGCAAGTGATAGAAGATGTTGAGAGACTGTTATTGGTTTGGATAAATGAAAAACAGATAGCAGGAGATAGCATCTCTCAAGCGATCATATGTGAAAAAGCTAGGAAGTTGCATGACGATTTAATTAAAAAAATGCCAGCAACTAGTGGTGATGTGAGTGAATTTAAGGCCAGCAAAGGTTGGCTTGAGAGATTTAAGAATCGTAGTGGCATACATAGTGTGATAAGGCATGGTGAGGCTGCCAGTTTGGACCAAAAAGCAGCTGAAAAATATGTGCAGGAATTCAAGGAGCACATAGACAGTGAAGAATTGAAACCTGAACAAGTGTTTAATTGTGACACTGACAATGTTGTGAAACACTTTAGGAATGTCATAAAGAAACGGGAGATACAGGCCTCTATGGACAGATATGTTGTGTGACAGAGGTCCAGTGACTCAAGCTGGTCCTAGTGGCATTAAAAGAAGGGAAGTAACCCCGGAAAAGGACTTGCCACCTAAGTCCTAATGGAAGGGGATTCCCCTTCTAAACACTAACATCATCAACACTCTCCCCTCCTCCCATCTCATCAATCATCACCAGATCTTCAATAAAGGTAAGTGTCATGTAACTGTGCATGTCTTCTTCAGTTTGTGTGTATTAAAATTAATATTTCATGTGGTAAATTTTTTTTTTTTTCAATACTTTGGGGTGTCAGGAACGGATTAATTTGATTTCCATTATTTCTTATGGGGAAAATTAACTCGACTAACGATAATTTCGATTAACGATGAGCTCTCAGGAACGGATTAATATCGTTGGTCGAGGGTCCACTGTATTTCACTGAGGAAACTGAAGTGATGGGTTCCCCATTATACTGGACATTAAAAGTATTTACCCTTTTCACTTTATTTTTCATGCCAAAGAGTATGACTTTCACTTTCCCGAGGTGTAACAGTAATTTGTTGTCTAATAACAGTTTGCTGCAGGACTCTAGTTCTAGTGATAGTATATTGTGGGTCTTTACCTGATAGAGTACTGTCATCTGCATACAAGAGAAGCATACAGTTGACACTGATGGGCATGCCATTCACATAGGAACAATAAGGAACCCAAAATACTACCTTGGTAACTACATGCTATCAGCAGGAGTTCTGATTCTGTGTTGTTGGTCTTGACAATTTGTTTTCTGTTAGTCAGGTAGGACTTAAACTGATCTACGGAACCTATGCCGATAGCTTGAAGTTTCTTGCATAATATATTACGGTTGACTGCATCAAAGGACTTTCGCAAATCTAAGGTCACCATACTTATGAGATTCCCTAATGATATTTCAGTTCTCAGGTAGTCTATGAGATTAATTAGGGAGGCGTTGGACAAGTAAAATCTCCTGAAACCTGATTGGTAACTATGGAGAATATTTTTGTAATTAAGATAGTTAACTAATTGACAGTACACTGTCTTCTCTAAAATTTTGGATATCACACTGAGTATACTAACAGGCCTATAGTTGCTGACATGAGATCCACTATTTTTTCTTGAAAATAGGAGTAACTCTGACCTTGAACCCCTCTGGAGCAGTATTAGTGTGCAGTGGGGATTGGAATTTCAGAGGCACCAACTTTAAACTAGAGTTGGGGGAGGGGTCAGCATTGAACAATTGAATCAAGAGTGAGGGAAGACACATTTATGCATTTATCAATATTTTAGAAAGTTAAATAATATACACTGTACAGGTATTGTAATTTGTTAGTGATATGTAATATATATGTAATATATGTTACAATTGACATAGTACGTACTCACTGTGATTTCTGACACTCTGAATTGAGTTTCTTTTTATGTTAATTAAATTTTGTAGTGGTTAGTTGCAGATTAGATTGTAGGTTGTCACCAGTAAAGCAGTTGTGAATCTTTTGACTTGCTGAGATTCAAGAGGCTAAATGATAGCTTGCAAATGTAAGTGATTCGATAAATACATGAGAGGAGTTGGATTTGAGTGGGACTTGTACATGAGTAAATAGATTTATCAGAGCGTATTGTTAGGGTAGCACTGAAAGTGGGTTGGGCAAATATTCTGCTAGTGTTCCTCCTTTCTTATGTTCTTATAAGGATGAATAAATAGAAGAATATGTAAATATGAATACCGATTTTGAGGCAAGCACTTGTAGAAAATAAGTAAGTGCCCTTCTATAAACTTTCAGCAAAACATGTTACAGCTCTGAAGATCGGTTAGTTGTAATAGGGCTTATACTGTAATTAAGTGTCATCTGGTGATCCGGAGAGTAGTTTGTTGAACAGTTGCAATATCTTTATGGTTTTCCTTTAAGTCTCCAAAAATCTTATTAAAAACCTCATGAAGCATTCTAGTCTTGCATATTTGCAATTCCCATTATGCTTTTGATGTTTTTGGTCACATGCCATCAAAGGCTGCTCAAGGCCCACATGTGGCCTGTGGTCTACTAGTTGTGCATCCCTTCTCTAACACTTATTACCTTCTTTAATTTTCTGTTTAGTTCCTTGCCTTCTGTTGTTGTCTACTCTGAGAGTTCTTTATCTTATTATTCTTTATAGCCAAGTCATTATCCTCTTTATATGGCTATAAAACCAATTTAATTTTTGTTTTTTTTGACGTGGCTTTAGTGTAGCTAATAAATTTTCTCACTTGATTTGTGATGGTCTGAAAGAGTCCTGTTATGGCTGAAATTTTTGTTGTCAGCATGATTTTTTTTTTTTTTTTTTTACTCTTAGTTTCATTTGTCTTCCTAAAAGTACCGTAAAATTTATCTCTGTTATTTGTTTGGAATTACATGCATTATTTGTTGCATGTATTCATTTCCTATTGTATGTTTAAGGCAAAATCCTTAAGTCATTCCTGAACTAAAAAGGAAAGTATCAGTGTCATAAACTCTCCAGTAAAAAAACACCATGGGTTTTGCTTAAATATTATTAAAAAGGTGCATCTTTTTTTTTTATAACGTTTGGAAAAAACGGTGATGGTGTGCTCCATAAGTGTGGAAGCATCAAGCTAAATGTAAAATCTTGGTAGTCTGCTTTTTGGGAGTCTTGCATGGCTTACTCATTGTGTTTGGGATCATTCCATCACCCCCCCATCTTGTTTCTGGATGTTAACCGTGGTTTCCAAAAGGAATACTAATGATGCCAGGGTGCCTAGAAGAAGGATAAGTGTAAATCTCGGTGGTATTGAAGAAAGTGTTAATTTTAAATAAGTATAATGCAGGCTGCTTACACTTTTGGTTTGAGAAACTCCACCCTCCATAGTTATGCAGTGAGAAAATAACTTGTGCAGTGATTAGTACAGGTTGCGACCTGGTGAAAAGAATGTCAGAGAGGTCAGTATTGCAGGGTAAAACAGACCCAAGATGCATTACGGAATACCTGAGCGCTCCACTACAGTCATCAACTACTACTACTACATCCATTGCAATAAATGAATCACAGCCATCCACTTAAGCCCAGTAAACTATATCAATCATTCACACACTTCCATGACAACTAGATTGTATAAAGGAACTAGTACAGTGGACCCCCGGTTAACGATATTTTTTCACTCCAGAAGTATGTTCAGGTGCCAGTACTGACCGAATTTGTTCCCATAAGAAATATTGTGAAGTAGATTAGTTCATTTCAGACCCCCAAACATACACGTACAAACGCACTTACATAAATACACTTACATAATTGGTCACATTCGGAGGTAATCGTTATGCGGGGGGTCCACTGTAATTTGTATTTAGAAGAATATTTTTTAAGCTGTTGCTTGGCAAATTTGAAGGTTTCTGGAATGTAGCCCTATTTTTCTCATGTTCTTTACTTTGCATCACTGTATGACCTTTGTGGGTTTAGCACTTAGTTTTGATTGTAATAATAATTCTCTTCACATCAGTCTGTTTTACCAAAATGCTAATTTTCAGGAATGTATCCCTGTGTTATGAAAAGGTTTACTTTGCATTATAAATTACTCTGCATTATAAATACCATATACAGCCTCTCCTCACTTGGTGACATACTCATTTACCGATGACCCAGACTTACCACAGGCTCTCTGACCAGTATGCATACATAAATAGTGTATATTGGAGTTAAAACATTGGAGTATAAACATTTAAAAATATACTAAAAATGTTATAAATGTGCACGTGCAAAGGTGACATTAAAACAATATCGAAAGTGGTTGACACAAACCCACTACCATTATAGTATGCTCCTTGCTTAGCGACGAATTCATTTACCAATGTGGTCTTAGGAATGGAACTCCGTCGTTAAGCGAGTAGAGGCTGTATACTGTATATGACTGTTTGATAAGGAAATACTGTAGAAGTTGCAGTGATAAGTTTCTAAGTACCACATTCAGTGCCATCTCATGTGTTGAAGCTAGTGCAGAAAAACTGATAGATTTTTTGAAAGTTTTCTCAAATTTATTAATTTTATATTTTCTACTTGCAGGACTCTCCCACCTCCAGTTGCATGGGCACAGAGGAAGCACCTGGTGTTTCTAACTATTTGTTTGGAGGACTGCCACAGCCCTACAATTAACATGGAAGAAAACAAAATATATTTCAAGGGAACTGGTGGTACAGAAAAGAAAGACTATGAATATACATATGATCTCTATAAAGAAATTGATCCTGAAGTAGGTTTTTCTTTTTTTTTCCATATGTAGTCTACAGAAGTAAAATGTATGTCTGCATTAGGGTTATAACTTTTTTACTTTTTTTTTCCCCAAATAAAACATGTGTCATAAATTAATGAACTTTTGTTTATAAACAATGAAAAAGCCCCTAATTCCTCCCAGTTTTCAAAAAAGCCACCCCTAAATAAAAACTGAATCACCATATATCTGCATTACTACTCATAAGTAGCAACTCAGGAAAGTACTAATTGGCAACTCAAATTAATGAAGAATATTGATCGCCATATATTTACGTTACTAATCATAAGTATCAATGAGTACAACTTATGGAATGCAATAAAGATGATCATTGCTGATACAACAAACTTTAACAAGGGAAAAAGAGTGGAGCTGTTGCCAAACTCCAACGAATGTTCTCAGACAAGGGGATTAGCAAACCACAATTTATCAGTTGCCAGCATCAAGTTCTGGACAGGATTCTCCTTTTGGTAATGGGCGAAAATCTTGGTGCTAAAACCAGTTCTCCAAACATCTAGTATCCACTTGTAACCTAGCTGGTGAAGAATTATGAGGAACTAGAGGCACAGTTTGTTATGGAACAGAAAAGATCTTCCATAAATCAGGATGGAGAGATGATATAAGTTTTTGTACCATCTAACACAAGTGTTTAGATTCTTTGAAGAAAAAGGGCACTTTTCTTTAATTAACTTTCAGAAAATTCCAAACATCAGCAATGCGAGGTGGAATTCAAGAGCCATTCTAGCTATTCTTGCATTCATTCTTATAAATACAAGATGGAAGACTTTGGAGAAGATATGCAGATTCATTTCATACACCTGGGTAGATTACTGGTTTACTGATCAGAGTACGATGAAAATGACTTCAAAAATTTGTCAGAAATGCTGAAGCCTCGCAAAAAAGCAGTGAACTCATTGAAAAGTCACTGGAAGCAGGAGCCATCCTCGCTCAATATGCCTAATATACCGAGTAGTAATAAGTGTGCTGAATGTGCAGAGTTATGCAGGAACTGTATACTGCCTGCAGAAACAAAAACGCCAACTTTTTTTTTTTTTTAACAAGTCGGTCATCTCCCACCGAGGCAGGGTGACTCAAAAAGAAAGAAAATCCCCAAAAGGAAAATACTTTCATCATTCAACTCTTTCACCTCACTCACACATAATCACTTTTTGCAGAGGTGCTCAGAACACAACAGCTTAGAAGCATATACGTATAGAGATACACAACATATCCCTCCAAACTGCCAATATCCCGAACCCCTCCTTTAAGGTGCAGGCATTGTACTTCCCATTTCCAGGACTCGAGTCCGGCTATATAAAAAATAACCGGTTTCCCTGAATCCCTTCACTAAATATTACCCTGCTCACACTCCAACAGATTGTCAGGTCCCAAATACCATTTGTCTCCTTTCACTCCTATCGAACACGCTCACGCACGCCTGCTAGAATTCCAAGCCCCTTGCCCACAAAACCCCCCTTACCCCTTTTTTCCAACCTTTTCGAGGACGACCCCTACCCCGCCTTCCTTCCCCTACCGATAAATGCTCTCCATGTCATTCTGCTTTGATCCATTCTCTCTAAATGACCAAACCACCTCAACAACCCCTCTTCAGCCCTCCGACTAATACTTTTATTAACTCCACACCACCTAATTTCCACACTCCTAATTTTCTGCATAATATAACTGTTAGGGTAAGACACAAATGCCAAAGTAACAACTTTATCAAACTCGTTTCCCTACTACAAAACATTTTTCAGTCCGAAACAGAAAGTTAGAGCAGAACGTATAGAGTACAACATCTCAATCAAATCCCACCCCTTTAAGGTCAGGCAATTTGAGTTCCATTCCAGGACTCGGTCCGGATATAAATAGTTCCTGAATCTCAGTAAACTATCTGAAGACAACCACAGATGTCAGGCATAAGACTTACACTACTGTCGAAAAGGTCAGGTCTAGCTGTAGAATTTCCAAGCCTGCCACAAAAGCCACTTACCCCTTTTTCCAACTTTCGAGACGACCTACCCGCTTCCTCCCTACCGATAAATGCTCTCCATGTCATGTCTGCTTTGATCCATTCCTAAGATGACCAACACTCAACAACCCTCTTCAGCCTCGACTAATACTTTTAACATCCACACCACAATTGTCACATCAATTCGCAAAGTATGTTAGGTAAGACACATATGCAACAGTTAGACAACTTTATTCCGAAACGTTTCGCCTACACAGTAGGCTTCTTCAGTCGAATACAGAAAGTAGGCAGGAACAGTAGAGATGTGAAGACGATGTAATCAGTCCATCACCCTTAAAGTCGTAGAATTTGAGGTTGTCAGTCCCTCGGCCTGGAGAAGTTCAGTTCCATAGTCAGGAACTATCTGAAGATCAAGCGACAGTGCGGAGACTTAAATACTGTCGGAAGGAGAGGTGCAGGGTATAGTAGTAGTAGTAGTAGTGAGAGGCAACTGAGAGGTCATGTCCCTCTCAGATCCAACCCTTCTCACTTGAAAAGCTTGTTCAAGGTGTTTTCTGTACCAAGATGCCACATGTTGCAGTGTCTGACAAGATGAACATCAAATGGTTTACAATACCAACAGGTTGTTAGGTAAGACACATATGCAACAGTTAGACAACTTTATTCCGAAACGTTTCGCCTACACAGTAGGCTTCTTCAGTCGAATACAGAAAGTAGGCAGGAACAGTAGAGATGTGAAGACGATGTAATCAGTCCATCACCCTTAAAGTCGTAGAATTTGAGGTTGTCAGTCCCTCGGCCTGGAGAAGTTCAGTTCCATAGTCAGGAACTATCTGAAGATCAAGCGACAGTGCGGAGACTTAAATACTGTCGGAAGGAGAGGTGCAGGGTAGTAGTAGTAGTAGTGAGAGGCAACTGAGAGGTCATGTCCCTCTCAGATCCAACCCTTCTCACTTGAAAAGCTTGTTCAAGGTGTTTTCTGTACCAAGATGCCACATGTTGCAGTGTCTGACAAGATGAACATCGAAATGGTTTACAATACCAACAGGTTGTTAGGTAAGACACATATGCAACAGTTAGACAACTTTATTCCGAAACGTTTCGCCTACACAGTAGGCTTCTTCAGTCGAATACAGAAAGTAGGCAGGAACAGTAGAGATGTGAAGACGATGTAATCAGTCCATCACCCTTAAAGTCGTAGAATTTGAACAAGCTTTTCAAGTGAGAAGGGTTGGATCTGAGAGGGACATGACCTCTCAGTTGCCTCTCACTACTACTACTACTACTACTACTACCCTGCACCTCTCCTTCCGACAGTATTTAAGTCTCCGCACTGTCGCTTGATCTTCAGATAGTTCCTGACTATGGAACTGAACTTCTCCAGGCCGAGGGACTGACAACCTCAAATTCTACGACTTTAAGGGTGATGGACTGATTACATCGTCTTCACATCTCTACTGTTCCTGCCTACTTTCTGTATTCGACTGAAGAAGCCTACTGTGTAGGCGAAACGTTTCGGAATAAAGTTGTCTAACTGTTGCATATGTGTCTTACCTAACAACCTGTTGGTATTGTATACCATTTTGATGTTCATCTTGTCAGACACTGCAACATGTGGCATCTTGGTACAGAAAACACCTTGAACAAGCTTTTCAAGTGAGAAGGGTTGGATCTGAGAGGGACATGACCTCTCAGTTGCCTCTCACTACTACTACTACTACTACTACTACCCTGCACCTCTCCTTCCGACAGTATTTAAGTCTCCGCACTGTCGCTTGATCTTCAGATAGTTCCTGACTATGGAACTGAACTTCTCCAGGCCGAGGGACTGACAACCTCAAATTCTACGACTTTAAGGGTGATGGACTGATTACATCGTCTTCACATCTCTACTGTTCCTGCCTACTTTCTGTATTCGACTGAAGAAGCCTACTGTGTAGGCGAAACGTTTCGGAATAAAGTTGTCTAACTGTTGCATATGTGTCTTACCTAACAACCTGTTGGTATTGTATACCATTTTGATGTTCATCTTGTCAGACACTGCAACATGTGGCATCTTGGTACAGAAAACACCTTGAACAAGCTTTTCAAGTGAGAAGGGTTGGATCTGAGAGGGACATGACCTCTCAGTTGCCTCTCACTACTACTACTACTACTACTACTACCCTGCACCTCTCCTTCCGACAGTATTTAAGTCTCCGCACTGTCGCTTGATCTTCAGATAGTTCCTGACTATGGAACTGAACTTCTCCAGGCCGAGGGACTGACAACCTCAAATTCTACGACTTTAAGGGTGATGGACTGATTACATCGTCTTCACATCTCTACTGTTCCTGCCTACTTTCTGTATTCGACTGAAGAAGCCTACTGTGTAGGCGAAACGTTTCGGAATAAAGTTGTCTAACTGTTGCATATGTGTCTTACCTAACAACCTGTTGGTATTGTATACCATTTTGATGTTCATAATATAACTGGTTTATTCTAAGCAATAAATAGTAATAAATTACAAACATGATAACAATTATGCTGTAAGCTGTTTTATTTGTTATTGATATTACATGCAATATAATTTCAAGTTACATACTTGTTTTTTTTTTTTTCATTTAGGGGTGACTTTTTCTAAAAAGATATTGAAATGAAAGGGCATATCTTTGCATTTAGGCAAAAGTTCATCTGATGAAGGTACAGGAATATTACATTGTAAAAAAGTTGTAACCCTAGTCTGCATATTAAAAAACTTTTTTTTTTTTTTTTTTTTTTTTTTTTTTTTTTTTTTTTTTTTTTTTTTTTTTTTTTTGACCCTAAAAGTAACCCACAATTCTTACCAATCTCAAACTGTACTTACATTTAGGTACAGTATATACCCACCCAGGTAGGGTGACCCAAAAACCAAATCCTTTCACCATCATTCACTCCATCACTATCTTGCCAGAAGTGTCCTAATACTACAGTTTAGATACTCCCTCCAAACTACAAATATCTCCACCCCTCCGTCAGAGTGCAGGCACTA